TATATATATATATATATATATATTAGTGCTGTCAAATGATTAATATATACATACATATTTATATATACATAAATATACACAGAACACACATATATTATGCAAAACAAAATTATTTTGGATGAGATTAATCACAAATAATCGTTTGACAGCACTAATATATATATAATGCTTTTTAATAGGCTAGCTTTAAAGGGTTACAAATTATTTTTAAAAATAATATAATATAATGCTCTTTTTTAGGTTATGCTAAAAAGTTTGGAATTCTAAAAACAAAATATAATAGTATATGCTCATCTTAGTAGGTTATATATAGTAGGTTATACATAGTATATTTTATTTTTAATTACTCGTGCTCTTTTTTAATAGGTTAGATTCAATAGTTATGATATTATAAAAAAAAAATCAAATATAAAGCTTAGGTTAGTTCTAAAGTATGAAAGGGGTCATGATGTTGCTAAAAATAACATTATTTGGTGTATTTGGTGTAATGAAATATGTTTATGCGGTTTAAGGTTAAAAAAAACACATTATTTTCCACATACTGTACATTATTGTTTCTCCTCTATGCCCCGCCTTTCTGAAACGCGTCGATTTTTACAAACTCATCGGTCTGAAAAGCGAGGTGTGCTCTGATTGGCCAGCTATCCAGTGCGTTGTGATTGGCCGAATACCTCAAGTGTGTGCCGTAAATGTTACGCCCCTACCATACTGTTATGCCCTGTCCGGCCGGAGCGACGAGACAAAAACATTAAAATCCATTATAAACGAGGCATTTGTTGCATCCAGTGGGGACATAATTACGGATTATAATGACTTATACTGTTTTTTTACGCGTTGCATTGCATCACGCCGTGTAAACATAAAACCATGTCTGCATTTGTGGCATGAAAAAAAATCTATATTACATTGTTATATACAGTATATTATGTTGTGTTATATTAATAATGCTCTTTATTTAATAGGAGAGCATTCTGCAAAAAGTTGTGATGACTGCCTTCGCCGACAGAACTGTGGTCACCATCGCTGTAAGTTCCCTATTTAGGTTGCTTTCTGACTTTAATATTTAAATTCTGGTTGTCGTTAAAGTCTGACAGCATGACGACGATTGAATGCTTTTAATGATTGAGAGGCATTTATCCTGCTCAAACAAAGTCTCAGGCACTTGAACTCCACTGTGTGTTTTTCCACAGCATCGTGTGCACACCATCCTGAATGCAGACCTGGTGATTGTGATGAAGAGAGGCGTCATTCTGGAGTTTGATAAACCAGAGGTTCTCCTCAATCAAGAGGACAGTGTGTTTGCGTCATTCGTGAGAGCCGACAAATAAACCCGAGACCCTCGACTGAAAGTGCAATTGTACCATGAATAATGAATAATTTATTACTGTGATTATCGTCACATTTGTAAATAAAATGTTAAATCATTTATTAATAAAAACATATAAACAACTTGTATGCTTTTTTTGAATTGTTTCCTTTATTTTTAATTAGCTAAATGTGTCAGTTGATTATAGTACTGTAAGCTATAATGTATAATAATATAGTACAGTTTGTCTCATCTGAACATGAATCTTAATTTTTTTGTTAATGCAGAGTGAAGTGTGGTAAAATAATACAGATTATAGAGTAGTACAGTTCTTTAGTAAAGGATTGTTGTCTATAATATTTGTTAATAAAAATATTAAATTAGAGAAATGATAATATGAATAAAGATAAAAAGTATTAAAACTCAACTATTATATATGTGTGTGTGTGTGTGTGTATATTATGTATATAATATAATAAATATATGCTTTTTTCAAATAAGTTTGTTAAAAAGCTACAAATTATAAAAAAATTGAATATAATATAAACATAATGCTCTTTTTAATAGGGTAGGTAAAAAAGTTGGAAATGAACAAAACATTATAATATTTATATTAATAGGTCTATTTTAAAAAGCTAAAAATTATGTAAAAATATAATAAATTGAAATAATGCTCTTTTTAATAGACTGGGTTATAAAGTTATAATAATAAAAATATATCATATTATATTACTATATTATATTAAATAATAATGCTGTTTTTTAAAGGGTTAGGATAAAAAGTTAGAAATTATTTAAAAAAAAATTGTTATATTAGGTAATGCTCTTAATATGAGATAATTCTACAGTACAGCATTGCTATAGCCTTTAGTATATTTGTCTCTTAGAACTAGTGTATAGTTAAGTCTAGCGTGTCCTTTCGTTGTTAACGCAGAGCGGTTTCTAACTGTGCTAAAGTTCGCGTTTAGCACGCATGCCCTGTGCAGAACGAGTCTTTCTGTCCGGCCCGAAGTCACATCTGAGAGGATGTGTGAGAAAATATCCGGTTGCAACTGACAGGCAGCGGCAGCAGGAGCACTAAAAGCGGCGTCTTCCCACGGGACCTCCTCACCTCTTGCGCCCGAGTGCGCAGAGTTCGTGCGAAAAAAAACACGAGCCACGTTACGATTTAATAACGCAGCCGCGAAATTATAGCATGGACCAGCTATGTTGTCCAGAAAAGGACTCATTCCCGAGGATTATCTGCTGACCCGCTTGGCGGAGGATGTGTTGCAGCCAAAATTCAAGACTAAACAGCGGAAAGCGCGATTCGTCGCCAAGAGCGGAACGTGCAACGTCGCGCACACGAATATCCGCGAACAAGGACGCTTTCTCCAGGACGTCTTCACTACTCTAGTGGACCTAAAATGGCTTCACACGCTCCTGATCTTCACCATGTCGTTCCTGTGCAGTTGGCTCTTGTTCGGGATGATCTGGTGGCTCATCGCGTTCGCGCACGGAGATCTGGACGCGAAAGGGGACGACTTTGTGCCGTGCGTAACGGACATCCACTCGTTCTCCTCCGCCTTTCTGTTCTCCATCGAAGTCCAGGTGACCATCGGCTTTGGCGGGCGGGTGATCACGGAGGAGTGCGTGTCGGCCATCGTGATACTGATCCTCCAAAACATCGTAGGTCTGGTGATCAATGCCATCATGCTGGGATGCATCTTCATGAAAACGGCGCAAGCGAACCGGCGAGCGGAGACGCTCATCTTCAGCAAACACGCGGTTATTACCGTCAGAAACAACAAACTGTGTTTTATATTTCGCCTTGGGGACTTGAGGAAAAGCATGATCATCAGTGCCACCGTGCACGTGCAGGTGGTGCGCAAAACCGTCACCAAGGAAGGCGAGATCGTGCCTTTGGACCAGATAGACATCCAGATGGACAACCCGGTGGGCACCAACAGCATCTTCCTGGTGTCTCCCCTCATCATCAGTCACGTTATTGATAAAAACAGCCCTCTGTATGATTTATCAGCGGCGGATCTGCAGCACGAGGACATCGAGGTGATCGTCGTTCTGGAGGGGGTGGTGGAGACCACCGGCATCACCACCCAAGCGCGGACCTCTTACCTGTCCGAGGAGATCCTGTGGGGCCAGAGGTTCGTGCCTACTGTGTCTGAGGAGGATGGGATGTACGCCGTGGACTATTCTAAGTTTGGAAACACCGTTAAAGTGGCGACGCCGGGCTGCAGCGCGCGCGCTCTGGATGAGGCTGGAGGGATGGAGAGCTTCAGACTGAAGGAGTCCAGCGGCGCGTCAGTGCGGAGGAGAATCAGACATCAAAACACCAAAGAACTGTGAATGTACTCTGCCATTATCCTCCTGAGACCCAACGAAAGAGTATATAATATTAAGTAACCTATAATATATACACACTCACACTATACGGCCAAAAGTATTGGGATGCCCCCTTCTAATGAACAGGTTTGAATACTTTAGTAATACTTTTCCATGAGTACAAATGTGACCCTGGATCACAAAACCAGTCACAAGGGTCAATTTTGTGAAATTGAGATGTATACATCATCTGAAAGCAGAATAAATAAGCTTTCCATTGATGTATGGTTTGTTAGGATCGGACAATATTTGAAAATCTGGAATCTGAGGGTGCAAAAAAATCTAAATACTGAGAAAATCGCCTTTAAAGTTGTCCAAATGAAGTTCTTAGAAATGCATATTACTAATCAAAAATGAAGTTTTGATGTATTTTCAGTAGGAAATTTACTAAATATATTAATGGAACATGATCTTTCCTTAATATCCTAATGATTTTTGGCATAAATGAAAAATCGATCATTTTGACCCATACAATGTATTGTTGGCTATTGCTACAAATATACCCCAGCAACTGAAGACTGCTTTTGTGCTCCAGGGTCACAAATCTTAATGTTTAAGCATATAGATGACTGTACCCATATATACAAGTCATTGGTGTTTGGTGATGAGTTTTTGGCTCAAGGTCTGCATTTAAAGTCACACCAGTGGTGTTCAGCTGGGATTAGGACTTGGCTTTCTGCAGACCAGTCAAGTTCTTCCACACTGACTCAATCAATCATTTCTTTTTGAACCTTGCTTATACCTCATACTCATGGAAATTACTAAAGTAGTCAAACCTGTTCATTAGAAGGGGTGTCCCAATATGTTTGGCAATATAGTGTGTGTGTGTGTATATATATATATACAGTGGTGGCCAAAATTATTAGAACACCTGACAGATTTGAAAATATTGACTGTTTTTGCCTCCAAAGCATGATTTCATTTCATAATGTTCATGAAACATGCAGATGGTTGCTCTGAGCACAACAAATATCAGATGAAGTGAGTCGTACTGTTTTTATCCACTTTTAACTTTAATATTTTGTGTGTCCACCTTTTGCAGCAATTACAGCAGCACATCTCTCTGGCATCGTGTCAATATATTTCCTGAGAACTTCAACACTAAGGTTATCTCATGCCTTCTGCAACTCAAGCCAAAGGCTTTCCTTTGAATGTTCAATAGATTGGTCCAATTTATTTTCCAACTCGCCCCAAATTTGCTCGATGGGGTTGAGGTCCTGACTTTGTGGGGGCCAGTCCATCATTTTCAATGTTCCAGCAGATTCCTTCCATCGCAGGTAGTTCCGGCAATAGTTTGTTTTATGGGAATTGTAATGGCCAATTCAAACAACTCAAATATGCCAAGTGTTCTAAATTATATATGTTATAAATGTATCTACATTTATAACACTATTTTTTGTATTATATCACCTTTGCATCAAATTACAAAAAAACAGTTAACGCTAATGCGAGGGTGTTTCTAATGCAGCGTCTATGTGAGGGACGGAAAATTTGACATCGCTCTCTTCTGACAGCCGTTATCAGTCTCTCTCAATTTTATTCCTTTTATTGGAATTCATGAAAACACTATCGTGGTGTTTTTCTTTTCTCATTTGAGCAAATGGGAATGCAAAAAAAATATATCTGTGGTACTCTTCCATTCACTGCTCTTCAAGTTAACCCAACTATGACGACTTCCGCTTCTGAGAAACCCGGAAACGTGAAAAAGGTCCATTTGTAATTGTAATTTAAATTTAATGTTACTTCTTAAAATATATTAAATCATTATATTATAATTTTATATATGCTGCTTATTAATTAATTGTAATAATTCATAATTATTATACTAAAATATATTTTAGCGTAATACTTAACATTGTAATCAGTTTTTTTAAATAAACATATATAACGTATTATTACAATTAAATATAAAATATATTAAAATTAACATTAAATTTAAAAATAATAGATTTAAAAATTTTAAGTTAATTATATAAATTTTTATATAGGTTGCTCTCTATATATTAATTCATTAATTCATAATAATTAACTATTATTCATAATAATTAACACATTTAATTTTTGTTTAATATTTTAATTGCATTTTTTATCTAAATTTTAGATTTAAAATTTAGATCCACTTAAAGGGGTCATATGATGCTGCTAAAAAGAACATTATTTTGTGTATTTGGTGTAAGGAAATGTGTTTATGCGGTTTAAAGTTTAAAAAACACATTATTTTCCACATACTGTACATTATTGTTTCTCCTCTATGCCCCGCCTTTCTGAAACGAGTGGATTTTACAAAGCTCATCAGTCTGAAAAGCGAGGTGTGCTCTGATTGGCCAGCTATCCAGTGCGTTGTGATTGGCCGAATACCTCAAGTGTGTGACGGAAATGTTACGCCCCTTACCATATTGTGATGCCCTGTCCGGCCGAAGCGATGAGACAAAAACATTAAAACTAGGGCTGCACGATAAATCGCATGCGATATTTAACGCGCATCTTATCAGTAAAGCCGGTTCTGTAATCAGTGGTAAATCTCCATGACGTGCGTGCTTTCACATTGAGCAGCATTAACTACACAGAGCCGTTGTTCACTGATGAGCTGCGCAAAACCACGTTCATATTCACGCGATTTTACGGCTGATTAAAGAACTGGCTTTCTGACAAGATGCGCATTAAATATCCCATGCGATTTATCGATTTATCGT